AAAAAAAAAAAAAAAATACAATGTCAAAATTAAAAGTCAACTCATTTTTATTGTTCAGGAATTATTTAAAAATATGACACAATCTACAAGAATAAACAATTTCACAAAAAAAATTGCCAAATAGCCTATAAAAACCTGACAAATTAGGTGAAATTAAATTAAAATTAAAGACAAGTTGAGAGTGCTTACATTTGTGTCCAATGTTGCCGTATAAATGTTGGATTTTTATTTAAATATGAACATCAGTTACCATGGACAGACCCTGATTTAGCCAACGGGCTAATTTTCATCTGTAGTCCCTGACAAGTTTATAGTATAGCAAGATCAAGACAGTTTGCATACAAACAAATAAAATAGAATAAAAATCCACCAAAATGAGAATGCTAGTGCTGATTGTCTGTGCCATAGGGATCAGTGCAGGATAAAGAAAGCCATAACACAAGTCATAATGTTTCTGTTACAGCTTGGCATACAACACCGATACTCTAAAAACATTTAGAGATGCTCAAGAGCACTATGAACATACTGATTGTCTTAACTAGTTCAAATATATAATCTTATACTTTAACCTCTCAAAAGACTAGAAATTCATCTATACAACAGATGTATATTAGTAATTATAATAATGATAAAATTAAATAATTTTGTTTAGGAGAACTCATTCAGACCTGCTAGTGGGACTGAGCGAAGGCTGGCCCACTCATAATGTCAGTTAATGCACAGAATAAAATGAAATCCCACATGTAACCCCAAAGTTTATCTGTTATATTTCATTATTGACTGCCGACACTGACACTGTAGGCAGTCAATACAGACTCAATGTATTTGACATGTTGTATCTGAACTGGTTCTGCACGAAAAATGTTTTGCGCACCTTTTAACGAGAAAAAAACACGACTCTCCATCATTATTATTTCAACCTGAGTTATAAACTGGTTAAAGAATGCATGCACTGGCTACCATTGAAATATTTATTTATAAAGTGAGTTCCTCTATGTCGTCATCGAAGGAGGGGATGGCACGGATGGCAGGTTTACTGTCGGCAACGTTTAGAGCCTTGTCGATGACGCCGGAAGACGGTGGAGGTGTGGAGGAACCCGAGCTGAAGCGATGTAAACCGTCCCGTCTTGAACGTACCCCGTTGGTTGTTGGAGGGCTATTAAGTGCCATCATTTTACTGGAAGCACTGAAACTGTCACCAGCAGGAATGGTCTGGGCACCAAACAGCTGCTCCATGAGGCTTGATTTCTTGTCTTTCTCTGCTTTTGTTTCTGTTTCCTTCTCTGTTACCGTCATTCCAACATTAAAAAGTCCTATGGCTTCTAATGCAGAGTTTTTGTCGTCGCTAGGGGGAGCTGGAGGGAAGCCAGGGGAAACCCGGGACGCTGAATGTCCGAACGAAGGTGCGTACCTTCCAAATGCCAAGTCATCACTGGAGGTATGGGGCCGCAATGCTCTCCTCCCCGCTGTAAAACCGCCATGCTCCGCACTTTGCCTCCTCCTTCCGTCTTCTCGATCTCCAGCCAGCATCGATCCTGTCTCCTCTGACTCAGTGTGGTTGAAAACCGAAAAGTTACGGTTTCTCTCTTCAGGTGGATGCGGAGAAGCGATGTTGTTATTAATTTTTCTGGATTCAGAAAGAGGTGACTCATCGAACACAGAGTCCTGGGCTGCCTGGTTTTGACGATCTATTTCTCGCATCTTAGCCAACAGCTGCTCTTTCTTTCGACGTGCTTCCTCTGTCGCCTGCTGGCTGGACGTAGATTCCTTGTTCCATCGCGCCACCTCGTCCTGGACGTGGCCACGCTTCCAGTAGTTGTCGTCTTCTTTCTGGCTGAACAGGGAATTTGACTTCTTGCTATCCTCACCCTCCTGTTCTTTCTTTATGTCTGCAGATATAACGTGTCAGGTTAAGATTAAAGCCATTGACTGGGTATTTCACATAGATTATCCACGCACGTTGCTTTTATGCAAAGATAAAGGCGACGTGCGTGGACTGTCCCTGTTCTCGTTTAGTTTCCCTTTACCATTTTTCAATCTGCTCAGCTTCTCTTTGAAGACATTCAGCTCCTGGTCGAGTCCCTCTCTCTGCTGCGTCTCCTGTTCTCTCACCAGTTCCTCCTCGTGCCTCCCTCTCGTCTTGTGTTCATCGCTTTTTTGAGAAACCTTCTCCGACTCTGCTGGTTTGTCCACCCTGTCAAAACCCTGGACGTCATAATGTCAGAGACAGAATGGAAGACGTGAATTTAACCAAATAACTGCACTCAAACAGTAACCCTGACAGAAAAGTAAGGGATGAACAAGGCACCTACCTTCAAAGACAGGTATTCGCCAGCCGACTGTCCGCCGTACTCGTTGGTGTCATTGATGGCTGGGGGTGGAGAGGGGAAATCCTGACTCGACGTTCTGTCTTCAGTTTGTACAGCCTTGGTGCTGTAAAGCACTGTGACTAAACAAGATAAAAACAGATATCATGTAATGACGGTGTTATTTAAAGGGAAATCCCTCATAAAGCACCTCTGTCTGTCTTTTGCGCAACAGTGACTTACGTTTCCGCTTTGCACTACTTTCGCCATCTTTCCGTAATGCTGGTTTTGCCAAACGGTTGGAGTAAATATTTTTAGCATCTAGCTCTCTTTCCTTTTCCTGATCAAAGAAAAAAATAAAAAATCTCACAGTGTACAAGATGCAACAAAGCTTTGCACAAAGTTTTCAGGGCTGCTTAAGAACCTGAATAAAGCATACTGGTATGCTGTACCTTGAGCTTATTGGTCAGTCGGTCCAGCTCCTCCTGCAGACTCTTCACCTCCTCCTGAGAATGAATAGTCTTCTTCTTCTCTGCAGCAAGCTGCCTCTGAAAACTGTTGTTGCTCAGCTCAATGCTACGCTCCAAGTCCTTGAAATGCACACACACACACACACAAAAAAAAACTGTACACACCAACCTCGCCAAAGGAAAACAAAGGAACCAACGTGGCATCACAATGAAACTTTGAACAGAAAATAACTACAGTGGCATGAATGTATTAATAAATCACGTGCAATTTGCAGCGCACTTTAAATATGGTACTACTTCGACAGCAATAGAAATCTAACAAAAAAAAAAAAATAACCATGGATGAATTTACCTTGACTTTACGTTGTGCCTCTTGGGCCCGAGTTTTCTCTTCTTCAAAGCTACGGCTTAGCTCGTCTCTGGTCCCCAATTCTTGCTGGTCCACCAGCTTCTTTAGTCGCGCGACAGCGGCTTGGCTCCGATGCAACTGCTCCTCGCTCTCCTTCAACCGCCGCTCGGCTGTCCGTTCCCGCTCTTGCGTGCGCCGCAGTCGCTCTCGCAGCACGTGGATCTCGTTGGAGTGGCGCGCCAGGAGCTGGGAAATCTCACTTTCCGTGTCGTCGTAGCGCTGCAGGGCTTTTTCCTGACGCACCTGAAGCTGACGTTAGAAAAGGACGATTTAAAAATGATTTCTTATTTCACAGCAAAACGGTTTAGTTAAGAAAAACACCTGCCAACTTTAACAGAAAGCAAGCCTACCTGTCTGAGAGTTCTATTTTCCTTCTTCAGTTCATCATTCTGCTGCTTTAGTTCAGCAAGGGAGTTGCGCAATTCATTGATCTTCAGTAGGCGGGCTGAAAGCATCCGCTTGGTCACCAGATCCAGGTCTTTAGGCAGCGTGGACTCTTTGCTTTGAGACCGATTTCCCTTGCGGTTGTGCTGTGTGATGGGAAGGCCTCCAGGTCGCTGTGGCCGCGATGCATTCCAGCGCCCAACGCCACCTGCCGAAAAAAAACAAACAGATGGTTGTCAACGTAAAGGCATGCTGATTGGTTGAAGATTACCGCTGTTCATCAGTGCAACGTCTTTGAACTTAGATTTTAAAAAAAAGTCCAAATGGAGCTTGAATAACAGCATTATGGTGAATAAAATAATTCATTTACAATTAAAACAACTTATCTAGATGAAGACTGAGATGTTAAAATTGGGGTTATACTGCCATCATCTGGACAAAAACGCATAAATTGGTATGTGCTATTTACTTAACCTGTTGGTCTCACAATGACAGGGGTGTCAAACTCCAGTCCTCAAGGGCCGCTGTCCTGCAGTGTTTAGATGTGCCACAGGTAAAAAACAGTGGAATGAAATGGCTTAATTACCTCCTCCCTTTGTAGATCGGTTCTCCTGAGCCTTGCTAATGACCTAATTATTCTTTTCAGGTGTGGTGCAGCAGAGGCACATCTAGAAGTTGCAGGACAGAGGCCCTTGAGGACTGGAGTTTGACACCTCTGTCACGAGAGGACCCAAATTTGGGTCCTCTCGTGACAGACAGGGTAAGAGTCTCGCAAAAGTCTTCATACTCTACATTTTTTTTTTGTCACGTTATAATCACAGACTTCAACAAATCCTGTTTGGATTCTATGTGATAGGCCAACACAAAGTGGTGCATTATTGTAAAATGGACCAAAAAAAAAAAAAAATCTTTTTTAAAATCAAAACTCTGAAACATTTGGTGTGTGTTTTTATTCAGCCTCCTCTATTCTGAAAACCTCTACATAAAATTGAGTGCAACCAATCTGCACTTAAATGTCCCTTAAATTAGTAAATAGAGTTCACCCACGTGTAATGTAATTTCATTAAAAGATGATGGTGTTCGAGTAGTTTTACAAAGTACTGTATCTAACAACTAACACAGATACAAAACTGAAAAAGCAACAATGTACGTACGTAGCTTGTGGGGTGGACTTCTAGAAATCTGCTTTGCCTGCAGCCCTCTCTGTGGCACCGGAGATGGAGTGAGTGTCTGGGAGAAAGGTGAAAGTGAGCGTTCCGACTGTGTAGCGTTCTCGTAGTCCTCAGAATATAGTGACCCGTCACTTCTCCGTCCCTCTCCATCTGAAATCCGGTCTCGATCTGGATCGGATCGGCAGGTTGTTGCTTTCGATCTGCTGTCGACACTCGTGTCTTCTCTGTGACTTTTTCCCATTCTGTGCCTCCGCCCCGATGATGCTCGAGACTCTTTCTTTGTGCTTCGACGGGACTGGCGACTTAGAATCCGGTTGTCCTCAATCGCTTCAGGGGCTTTTTCTGATTCTTCCATGCTGTCTGTCTGATAATGTGTGCTGAATCTTAAGTGAGAAAAAATACAACAAAGTTTTGTTAGGAATACTTTAACTATAGCAATAACAAAGGATGCAGAGTCTTTGTTAAAAATAACAGTGGAAAACTGACCTTAACACTTGTATTGCAATACTACATTACGCACTCTTACATTTAGCTGAGGTTCATAATAAGCACAGCCAAGCCAACTGGTTTCACTAGTGTTTTCAGTATTATGTGTCTTGGTCACTAAGCAACAATACACATGAGATTAAAGTTTCCATGAGACTGTATTAAGCTTAAGGATAAACATCACTGTGTTTGGAGCGAATAATACTATACTACCCCCATCTCCATCAGCGAGATAATTAAGAGGTAAATATTAATTTCTGGGATTACTTAAATGCAGTAATTTAGACAAAACAAGGTCAGACATAATAAAAGATATATTTTAGCCCAGTAAGCCACATTACTTTACTCATATCTTACATAGTTATGCAAGTCAGACCATTTTCTATTTTCCCTCTATTTTTTTATAATGGTGAGACCAGCATCAACTATTATTTTATTCAAGACTAATGAATAAAATATAATATAAGAGAATAATACTTTAGTTATCCATCAGAGGGAAAATACTGTGTAACAACAGCAAAGTGACCATAAAGTAAAAAAGTACAGATACAAAAATAAAATAAAAATAATATGAATATTGGGTAAAAGGCTCTAAAGCAGAAACAAAAACAGAGGGGAAAAACTTATGCAGTAATGAATAAATAAATAGGAAAATAAATCTTAAAATATATAACTCTAGTGGAATAAAGTGTACCTGTACAAATTGTGTATTTTAAAATTCTGCTAACAAGGCCATAAAAAAGGAACAACACCAAAACAACTTGCTGAATGTAAACATTGTTTTCATTGAGGTTCATTTAGGTTAATGAACCACAGGCCATTTTATCCAGCACAACTCCAAAGCGCTACTAGATGCAATATTTGTCATACTTTTAAATTTCAAGTATGTGCTTTTACACTTCAAGTGTCAATATCTTTTGCAAGTAAAATTGCCTTTATTAAAGTTCATAATTCATAGAGATTTCAATGACAGAGACGCTGAATTCCAAGGGGATGATGGGAAAGAAAGAGAAGTGAGAAAATGTGGGCTATTTACACCTGAAGTTGTTACATTTTAACAGTAAAATATTCTGTTGAATTTTTTTCTGAATATTGTGAGGTACTTAGAAAAATTAATCGAAATTGATATTGTGAAGATAATTGACTTTCAGCATTTATAATTGCTTGACATGTACCACTTAATACTGTGTGCCTAGGCAAACTAATCAGAGTTAATTAAATGTAAAGGTCATGCACTCCTCTAGTTCTTTAGAAGCACATAGACATATCTATGGCAACGTACAAACATAAATAGAAGAGATCATTTGTTTACAACATGAACCACAGGCCATTTTATCCAGCAGATTTTCTGATGATAAAACATGTTCATACTATATGCAATATAATAGATGTGAAATCATTCTAGAGTCAAAATTCTTAAATAACAATGAAATTTTACACTCACCCCATGTGTCACATCCAGGTTATTTCTGCTGTTTTTAGCCTCTTTTTTCCTTTGTTTTTTTTAACAACCATTATACTGACCTGTCTTCTTATTCCCTTTTTGTATTTAAAAATTGGTCCAACTGAGCTCTGTCAAAACAAAATTAAAAGGCATCATCTTACACACGACAGCAATTAAGTACAGTTCTTTGTGACACCAAATTATCGGATTATTGCCGTTTGAGTGATTGGCAGGTGGACTGTTGACAGAATCCATGCCAAGTAACAGTAACTAAACAAATTTCCTCTATAAATGAAAAAGCCCTCTTACAGGAAAGGTACAATAAATCAAATAAAACACATTTATATAAAGACACAAAGTAAAAATAACGCATTATTGGCAACAGAAGATTAGTAAACCACTTTAGAGAGCTTATAGTCCTTGTTGGAGCAGAGCTGCTCCTTGTAGTGGCGCTAAAACAAATACACCTATATTCAACAAGTAGGTGAAAACTGAAGGCTGCGTTTACTGCTGGGATGCTAGTAGTACCCACCTACCTTGTTTGCTCGTTTTATTCAGCTATTTCACTACTGTTTCGCTCCGATTAAACTTCATAGCGGGGACCAGATTCATCGTAGATTCAAACCGCTAATGTTAGCTAGGAGTAGCAAGCTAGTTCGAGCGTTAGCCGACTTATCCGTAATTAAAACTGAAAATGTTCTCTCCGCTCTCTGAGAAACTACACTGTATTGACTGGTCGTTTAAATATATTTCCCTTTAATCATCCCCGTAAACACAGCGATAGCACAGACCACAAACCGTAACCTTTATCTTTCAAGCCCCATGATTCAGTGCAACCGCTGACGCTGTGCCATGGCAACCGCGGCAATTGTTGCAACACCTTTAGTCACCAGAGAGGCGCTGTTGTTCTTCCACCCATAGTGGCTCTCAAGTTTTAGTTGATGTAAATATCAAACCACGGAATAACGCTTTAAAACCATCTTCTTCTTTTTTTTCCATTTTAAATGTTGTTAGTGGAGTAGATTTTAGACTGTGGGTGGAAGCGCTGGACTACACGGAGAGAACTCGTACGTGCACAGGGAGAATGTAGACTTCATGCAGGTCCCCAGGCTAGGGACCTGAATAAAGAGATTTATGCAGGCTAGGATTTATGCCCTACACAAGAGTCTAGTTTCTGGTTTCTCATCAGAAACCAGTATGAAAAACAAACCTGACCAAAGGAAATGTGACTTTTTTTGTTTGAAATTAATACACAAAACATCTGGTAAAGAAAAACTAAGAATTGGCCTATTTTTAATATTTTTCATACTGTGACCGTAGGAAGCGCTGTCTCTTCTGTAGCTTTAAATATTTGTTTTTCACCATAAAGCATATATTGATTTACATGAGCAAATAGAGTGACCAGACATTCGATATTTTTAATAAATTCAGTATTTAAAGAACAAATTATCAGATTGTGTTGCACTTTGAGTATAATGTGGGAAACAGTAGCTACACTTGAGTTATTTGCTATCAGATGTTGAAGTGTAAGGGGTCTATGAGGAAAAATTGGTCGGTTTTGTACCTCTCTTCATTGTGCTTTTGATTTTAGTTTTGTATTATTTTTTTTTAAATAAAAACAAAATTAAATCAAATGTAATTTTTGATCATCAAGTTTTGGTCAACTGTGTGTTGCTTGTACTCCTGTTAAATATTTTGTGTGTGTGTGTGTTTAAAAAAAATAGATCAATTAACCCCTTTTGGTTGGTTGTTTTTGTTACGTTTTCTGTTACAATGGATGTAAACAGATTAAGCAGTGCATTACATTTCAAACAGGGCAGAAACCCTCCTAAAGAACACAACTTTCCCCTCTGCCTTACCTGAAAAACTAGGTTAAGTTGCTTAACATACTCAAAAACAAACCGGAATCATTGGCTTGCTTTCAGAATAAATTTAAGCTTCTCAAAAATGTGATATTTTTGAGGAACTGCATTGTATCAGTTCACATAAGCATTCCAGTAACTATATGAAGGGTGCCGAATTACAAAAATAAAACATATCATCTTATAAAATTCACGTGTCCCTTTAAGTCCGGAATTTTGTTTTGAAAGATAGGACGGAAGTGTAAAGTTCAGCTTGATCTATGTTGCATGTATTCAAAGAGCGTCACTGGCTGCTTTATTATCATGGCTCAGTTTAAATATCGGTGCAGCGTGTTTTTTCTCTGCTGAAGCACACTGCGTCTCGTCTGTTTTCAAGTTTTTCTCATTTTATGAGGGGAATAAAATTTGATACACTACAGGAAAAACGTTGTTCGGTAACAACAAACCATTAGTCGACTGCTGGCGATAATTTGGGATTATGGTCATCAAGGTTTACGTCGCTTCCTCAAGTGGCTCCATCGCGGTGAGTGTTTGCAAATGTGTGATGAAACTTGGTGACAGGTGATTCAAGAAACAGGGTTTTGCAAATCTTAAAACGTTTCGTTGCTGCCTATATATGATGAATTATGTAACTGATAATGAGCGCCTGTTGGTGGCCAAGTAGTGAAAGTAGACAGCGTTATTCTAACAGGTGAGATGATCTCTTATACAATAATAAAAAAAATCTTAATAATAGTAATAATAATAATAAAACACCACTTTGACTCAAAGTTAAAACAAGTCTGTACACTAGCACAAAATTACATGACCAAATCAGGAAGTACAAAAGGAAAACATTACTATGGTTTATTTAAAGTGTGACGTCAAAAGAATATGTTCCCATATGGTCATGTTTTCACACTTTTTTGCCCTTAATAAATTATATCATACATTTGGAAGCTGATTGTTGTTCTTAATCAGGATACATTCTGATAAAAAAAAAAAAAAGATCTGAAGAACTTGGAGCAAAAAGGTAAAGACACTGAACTTCGAAAGAGATGCAAACAGATTTAAAAGAGAGAATGAGAATTAAGGTGTGTTGCTTTGTTGTTGTTGTTTTAAGCATGATCAAGACAGTGAAATTCTAAGAGATATCTCCCTTATTTCCCATCCATCCTTTTATCTTCAGCAGTAACCATATTTCTGTCCTCCATCTTCTGATCGATAAAGGCCTTTTACTGCTGAACCTCTACGAAATGTTCTTTTCAACCCGTTTATTTCCCCATGTAATTCTATTAGACACCAGCAGTGTCTGCTGCTTCATCTAGGATGGAATTTAACCACTTTAACTGTCTTGTATTATCTTCTTTGAAAGGTGCACTAATGCATTTTATAAGTAATACCACAAGCCAGCAGTACTTTCTAAAATCTTGTTGAAAAATTAATAATTATACATTTGGGCTTTGGACTTGGAGAAAAGATCAAAGAAAACACAGTTTGACTCATTTCAGTGGCATGGGGTGCCTTAAATTTTCTAAACCATAATGATTTTGCAATGGCTACACAAACAGAGCACCAAATGTAGCTCTTGTGTTGTAGCCACTTGGCAAACAACCACCAACACATCATTTTAAAATAGGGCAGAGCTGATATGAGTGTTAGTAGAAAAAAAAAAATCATCAAACAGCTCTCCTGCATGAATGCTCACAGAGTTAGGTAATGGTACAGATGAGTAATATATTTATTTTATCATGCTCTGCTCCTCAAAATGGGCCTCTACAATCTGGATGTTTACAAAAGAGTTATTTTTAATCTCATCACACATACATTCAAAGCACAGAGTCTCTGTTTTTTTTTTTTTTTTTTTGGTCTTGCACATTTTCACGTACGCTCAAGTAACTCCACCATTTGGGTCAGCTAGTGCAAGGCAGAGCTCATGTGAGTGTTATTTATTCTGAATGCTTTTGATTTAATTTGCTGAATAAAGAAGAAACACTGAGGACGGGTCAGTCAGTTGGTGTAAAGTGAAGACTGTAAAGACTGTTCTTGAAGGGCAGTAATAGAAAGTCAGGAAATCTGGAAAACACTCAAATACAAAAGTGCAAAAAGAAAAAAAAACAGGCAAGCACAGAGAAAATAGGTTATAAAAGGGTCTAAGTTTGACCCCAGAGTAGCATAATCAGTTTAACACAATCAGATTAATGGGGTGGAAATGAACAGCAGAGAATAGATCATATGCAAATTAGGTTATCCTCTTCTCTTCACTACAAAGATCTGTTGAGTCCAATCAAAAATGTTTTTTTATTGATATGAATGAAGGTTCTGTGGACATGCAAAAAAATAAAATTCTGGTTTAATAAATAGAGATGTGTTCTCAGTGTCCTGTTTTCATGTTGTCACAAGCCATGTAGGGGGACAGAGCAAACACGTGGAAGAAGTTTCAGTCAGACAAGGCCAATATCGAACTTCTAAACATACATCTAA